AGAGCGTCTTGCCCACACATCGTGCTCTTGTTATCTTACCTGCAGTGTACGGACATAACGATTCGAAAGGTCTACCTAACAACTCTAAATTCACTAGGTCAGAGTGCTCAAATAATCTTTATGTGAAGACTACAGTACAGTTTCTCATCATAATTTAATATGAAAGGTCTATGGAAGGCAAATTATACAGACAATTTATATTTTTTGTCTCCATGTTACTAATAATATTAATAATATATCTTTATTTCTACAAGTACATGTACAAGGTATACAGTCCTAGCTGATATCAATGACATATTACTATATAAAAAGCCGCTTGTTGTGCAAAGCATTTCGGGCAAATTAGATCAGTTTTGTCCCAGGATGCAACCCACACCAGTCGACTACTTCCCAGGTTATCATTTTACAGATGGGTGAACATAGACAACCGGTGTAAAGAAACACGCCCAATGTTTTTACCCTCGATGGGAATCGAACCCAGACCCTCGCCGTGTAAAGCCATAGCTTTAGCCACCAGGCCACGGGGCACCGTTAGCATTAACCTCTCATTGACAAGTGTTCAATACATTTATGTATTATTATTACTTCAATATAGAGATCCCGCCACCATATGGGTCTAGTGGATTCAATATCTGATAAACTCTCCTGTACTTGTGTCCATGAAATCTGAAATTTACAAAACTCAGAAAACAACAATTCTTTAAGAAGTACCGGCGACCGACTCGACCATCTCACACATAGAGACAATAAATTTATACTCAGCATGTTGGCTAAAACTTTTGTTGTTTTGTTAATGAACATCGCAGACTCTGTCTGCAGTACAAGAGAAAAAGGTAGAACCAAATCTCTTATTCAGGCTGAAGTTCACTGAGACACAAACATCAAGGATACGTGAATCCTCTGATACTTGATTGAGATAAACTCACTATATATACACACAGAGGTATAAACCTCTCCATGTATATATTAAGGATTTTAAAGTTATGGAGGCTGTATTATGTTTTACCAGGACACAATGGGAATATTATGATTCGCTAAAGGGAGTTTTTGGTCATTTTGACAGACGTCTACCGCTGCACTAAAAGACCAGTTTGATTATTTAACGGTTCTCATTAGTAAACAGAGAAAAAAAATATATAATGAATACTTATTAGATAATGAAAGAATACGGGTAAACAGTAATGAAGATTTCTCAGCAAGATTAACAGGTGGAACATAAGTTAAATAATGCAGACCAATAAACCAGACGCACTGAACGTACACTAGATAATATTTCTTAACAAGTTGATTGGTAGACTCTAGAAAGGCAGAAATTGTTGACAGATATCTCAGGATACTTTGTGCAGAGCAAACTTTTATTTATAGACTGTATAACGAAGACTTTTACTAAAGGTTACCGAAAGAATCGTCTTTCCACCAGAGACATGGAGCGCTGGGGTAAGATCCAAGAGAAGGCAGCGTATGTTGTGACTGCAAGGAAGTTTACAGAGTTGTAGACTGCTGGAGGTAGTAGTTTGTGCTACAACTGCTGGGAACTTTTGCAGATCTGCATGACATAACTCTTTTCTTATAGCTACAAACAGACATTCAAATATAATCACATCACAACCTCACCACCACAGCCACCTCCACCACTGTTACCACCAGCTCCCCCACCATCACTACTACCACCACAAACACCACCACGACGACGACCACCACCACTACCACACCACATTCACTACCACCCCATGATCACCACTGTGATAGCCACAACCGTTGCTACCAACACGGACACCACCACTATCACCAACCTTGCTTAAAACCACCACCCCACCATTACTACAACTACCATTCCCACCACTACCCCCCCTCACACACCATCCCCACCATCACCAATCACACACACTATTATTATTCCTAACTACGATTTGCATATCACCTTCAATATATCACTGGCAACGTTATAGGAGACAAGATATCGCTTTGAGGTATTCTGTATTTGGCTGACGAACTAAGACACTGGAGGCTGGTTGGAGGGAAGCACCCTCTGGAAGAGAGACACATTTAAGGGTTTCGTGATAGAGAGTAAGGACGAAGTACAAGGCGAAGTAGAGGCTGGAGCCTCCGTTCACTAACGCAACGAAAGAAACAGACGTCTGTCTTTCGCTGTGTTCCATACACTGGATGAAACGCACAGCGACTTTATAGTTTTACATTGCTATAAATAAGGAATCCGTTCGTTAACTGTGGTTCTATCTCCGATCAGTGATGCTCTTGGTACTCACCCACAGACAAAAATAAATTAAGAACGGAGTAGGAGAGTGAAAAATAAACTAGAGGAAAGCTAAACACATACAGTACATCTTATAAAAACAGAAAATCAGATTATTTACAAAATTGTACACGAGTCCAGCCGTAAGTGAAGGCCATGACCAAAAGTCTAACATGCTCTCATATGTATGACAAAATACCCCCATTCCAGCTTAAAACTCCAAAACACATTCCAACCTCAGTTCAAAAATACACTAATACTATAAAACCAAAATACGCTCATACCAGAAGTCCATAATCAGTCAAGGAGTTAGAGATAACCTAGTAAACCTGGAGTGAGAAACAACCCAGTATGCCAGGAGATAGAGATAACCCAGTATGCCAGGAGATAGAAACAACCCAGTATGCCAGGAGATAGAGATAACCCAGTAAGCCAGGAGTTAGAGATAACCCAGTAAGCCAGGAGTCACAGATAACCTTGATCACTAACAAACGCAGCAACACAGACGCTCTAACAAATGACGATCATAAGCAATAACAAAAATGTATCAACATTCAATAAGAAGAAACACTGGCGAGTCACCCTTAAATAATAATTAATATTAGGGACTCGAATTATTATTTTTTTTCTTGGGGAATCACTAATTCCCTTAAGGTCATATAACACCCTGGAGACGAGAAACAATCTGCTCTGATCCGTGGGAAGAAAGATGTGCTAAAACTCCTTGGATCAAGAGCCCTTCACCAAAAATGAAGGCATCCCCTGGCTAGTAAGTAGCTCATGATTCAAAACTGGGGTGTAAGCAGTAAGTAGGTACCCTGGTGTTAGCAGACTGTTGTGGGACGATCCCCAGGGAAAGTGTTACTACGCTTCAGTGCTCGACTCTGAAAACAACTGAGATAGAATACCTCCTTAGTCTGTAAATTCAGTTGGTTAACATTATTAAAAAAAAAAAACGCAACAGGATCATTATCCTTAAAACAAGCATATAAATGAACACAAGTCCGTTTCGAGCATTTAATCATAATCATAATAATCATCTTTATTTCTACAGGTACATGAAAGGTATACAACCCTAGCTGACATCAATGACATATTACTATACAGAAAACCGCTAGTTATGCTGAGCAATTCGGGTAAATTGGGTCAGTTTTGTCCCCAGGATGCGATCCACACCAGTCGACTAATACCCTAGATGAAAAGGGACAACAGGAATCTTAAGGAAACACGTACTACTGTTTCCACCCGTACCGGGGGGGGGGGGGGTCGACCCCCGGACCTCAATGTGTGAGGTGAGTGCGGTGGCGAGCGAGCTACGGGACACCTGAACGATAAGTAACTTTTCTTTAGATAACAGCCAACATTAGCTCATTGACATGATTTCAGTATCAGAAATGATAGCTTAAAAGAACCTGTACATTCATTTTTCTCCTTTTCTTCTTCTTCTTCTTCTTCTTATTATTATTATTATTTTTATTATTATTTTTATTATTGTTATTGTGGAAAATTACATTTATCTGAATGTATCATTATGTACATAACAGTAAATGAACAAAGATAATTATTATTTATCAGTTACATAGACAAGTAGGAATTTGGGACACCTAGGTCACAAAAAATGTCCCCCTTCGATACCTACCACTGTCATATCCACAAGTTGCTCTGGACCTATTAATTAAATGAAATATACATACACCAGGAATTCTGGTAAATATATAAATTTGTGGACTGTATATTAAAATTAATAAGTGATTATATATATACACATTTACATAACAGAAGGAGAATATATCTTAATATCACTCACCAATTTGACTGGAGATTAAGGTGTATCATACTGAGAAAACCTCATTCTAACTAAATTTATGAAAATAACTCTGACCAGGATTATAACACAAATCTATATAGCTTATCTGAGGTTCCTGGAGCTGTCTTGTCCAGTCGTCTGATATCTCAAGTTATGCAGGAATGCACATCCAACAATTTCGCCTCCTATTTGAGAGGTGTCAACCCAATTTTACCTCTAGAGCACGAAAATTCTTCACATTATTAACTAATGTCTGTTACTCCATTCAAACAACAATGGCGAGTCTCTTCTGCACAGGCGCCGCTTCCCATTTTCAATAACATAATTTTTATTAAATACAGTATGGCCATCTATTTACATATAACTACTGTATTTCTGGAAAATATATACAGTATTTTCCACAGTTATTATTTATTATTATTATTATTATTATTATTATTATTATTATTATTATTAATATTATTATTATTATCATTATTATTTAATTATTATTATTACCGCAGTCATGAACTGAGCGCTAAACCCGCAGGGATCATATAGGGCCTGGGGAATGGGGGGGGGGGAAGGATAGACAAAATCTGGTTCGATCCCGTGAAGAGGTCAGGTCCAATTCTTAGAATCAAGAGCCCATCATCGGCATCAAGGAAGCTCCTCTTGAGATTTCCGTCTGGCCTGTGTAATTGGCAACGAATGCATGCGCAAGTCCCTCGTAACTAGTTGGATTAAAAAAAATTGAAAGCTTCCTCTAAGGACCGTAAGCACTAAATGTCATAAGGTAATTCGATTCGCATTTTTTTTTTAAATTGTACTTATTGACTAGCGGTTCCCTGTAATCATAAGATAGGAAATATTATCGCCTGAAAAATCAGCTGATCTTATCTCAGTTATCAAACGCACACACCGGTCTTCCTACCCCAAGGATTACCAGTGCTCGCGCTGCCTTCGCCGCGATTACCCGCCTCAGCAGTGCTAAATACGGAGAGGTGTTGTAAAAACCTGGTGTATAATACCGACAAATTGTAGTTAATGGCATATAACAGGCACTCAGGACGTTTTTGTTCATGGAGTAAACAAGGTCCCAGGACCCAAACATTTCGGAAATAAATGGTATAAAATACTGACGCAGTGGAAATATAAACATATATGCAGTATAATGTGATGCTTTATTGGTCTGTTTGTGACTTGATAAAGCCCACTGTGTGGGCGAAACGTTGCCAGTAAAGGGTCACATTATACTGCATATGTGTTTATATTTCCACCCAAACATTTCGACAATAAAATGTCCTAAATGTTTTGCTTATGTGTCATTAATCACAACGGAGAAATATTTTTGATCAAAAAGATACACAAGTGTGCTCTGGAATAATAACTTCCATGAACACATGGAAAACTTTTTAGATGTGAACTAAGAAATTTATCTCGAATTTGAGGATGGAAAAGAGCAGTATTGTGCCCCTGGAGTGACTTGTCTATTGAATACTTACATCTCTCTCTCTACCGTAGAGTTTCCAGCAGCCATAATGTCGTCTGGAGGGTCTGATGCCATCCTGGACAACGGACTGACATGCTCAGTGTGCCTGGAGAGTTATAACGAGCAAGAGCGACGGCCCTTGCTGCTCCCCGCATGCGGTCACACCTTCTGCAAGAACTGCCTGATGGACATCGCAGCCAGGGACGCGGACGCAGGTAAACACGACCTCTTGCTGCAACGGACAAGTTCAAGGTATTAATCTCTACAGTTATTGTTTTCATGCTGAACTCACAAGAGTTATACAACAATAACAACACTTGAAAAATGGAAAATAATTACGTCCGGTCCGAGAAAAGTGAAGATTGCCATACTTCTCCGGATCACGGTTTCAAAAGGGAATAAAATACCGACAAGTTGATTTAATAAGACATATGTGCAACGGTTGGGTATCTTTATTGCTGGAACATTTCACCTACTCCAGGGGTCCAAAACTTCAGCTCATCGACACCTTCATGAAGTTTGAAAACGCTCATCGACCCCCAAACATTTATTATATGATATTAATTTAATTAATGGTATTTTAATAGTACTATGAACAACACAACAACAACAACAACAACAACAACAACAACAACAACAACAACAACAACAACAACAACAATAATAAAAAATAAATAATAATAATAATAATAATAATAATAATAATAATAATAATAATTATAATAATAATAATATCAGAAAATAGGTAATATTTAAGTTATGAAAAATATAAGCTTTACCATATCTATATGACTGAAACTGTTGATATAATTAATGGTCAGGATGCGTCAGATGAGTATCAACGCGGACACTAATATTTGGTTGATGATTGATGAGTCGTAAGTCACTAGGTTCATCAGTCTGTTCCTCTACTTAGATAGAATTGCATTGGTTAGCTAAAAGGACACAAGTGCAACTATTGTGACAGTTTCTTGTGGCAACGTTTCGCTCTTCAGGAGCCATTTATAGACCCTTAAGGGGTCGATATTGACCACTTTGGGGAACTCTGGCCTACACAGTAGGCCTCTTCAGTCAAATACAAAGAATGGATTGAAGGAAGCAGAAGTGTATTTGTCTGAAAAAGCCTACCGTGTAGGCGAAACGTTACAACAATAAAGCTACCTAACTGTTGCACATGTGACTTACTAATCAATACCAACATAGGTTGAGGAGCATGTGAAACGCTCTGGCAACAAAAGCTGTGCTGTGTTGTCTTTTGTCAGCGTTCTTCTGACAAAAGCGAAAAAAAGGTAATCCATTTTGACCACGGTCACGTTCCTTTTCATTCCACGGTTACATTAGCTTTTGTTAGACATTTCGTTTCCTATTGCCATCATCTGTTAATTAAAAAATAATAATTGGGCCAAAAAAAAAAAAAGCGCTCTTCAAGCTTGAAATGTATTTTCATTCATCAGTAGAGAATGTGATGAGTAGGGTTGTGGTCAAGCTTCTTCATCATGATGAATAAAATCATGTTTCTTGCCTCCATAATGATGATCATGATGATTTCACCAATTTTCACCAGTTTTGTTACGGTTGCTTTCATTCTTTGCTGTTTTTTTCTTATTCTGTTTCTTGTTTTTCTATTTCTTCTTCTTCTTCTTCTTCTTCTTCTTCTTCTTCTTCTTATTATTATTATTATTATTATTATTATTATTATTATTATTATTATTATTATTATTATTATTATTATTATTTTATCACGTGTACGTAATACGAAAACCAACTACAAAAAAAGAAAGAAGAACGAGAAAGAAGTAAATTAAAATCGAGGGAAAAAATCGAATAAGAACAGCAATGAAAACAACCCCCCCCCGGCCATTAACAACCACTACAACAACCCCATCATAAACAACCACAACAACCCCCCCCCGCCATAAACAACCACTAACAAATCCCCATCATGAACAACCACAACAACCCCCTCGTATAAACAACCACAACAATCCCCCCACCTTGCCATGAAACAACCACAGCACCAACCCCATATAAACAACCACAACAACCCCCCCGGCCATAAACAACCACTACAACAATCCCATCATAAACAGCAACAACAACCCTCCATAAACAACCACAACAACAACCACAACTATAAAGAACCACAACAATCCCAATGCCATAAACAACAACAACAATCCCGTCATAACCACAACAACTCCCCCTGCCATAAACAGCCATACCCCCCCCCCCCGCCATAAACTACCACAACAACCACGCCGCTCTCATTCACACAGTCATTCTTGTAACCCAAGATATTTGTATTGACATTATTATCAAATATTGATGGACCAAGTAAGGAGCCCCGGGGAACACCGCATGATTCCCAGAGAGAGATGTTGGTTTATTTACGGCCTATTATCCTGCAATTTACTGCTAACTCTCGTATAATTCACTCCTAACTCTCTTATGATCTATTGTAACAAAAAATCCCCATGCTGAAGCAACAAAAGGAAGGTATACTTTATTAAATCCTCTCGCGGATTTAATAGTAAACATCAATGAATGCTTTCTGAACGTAGAGAGTGCCATATATATATATATATATATATATATAATATATATATATATATAATATATATATATATATATATATATATATATATATATATAATATATAATATTCCGCTTTTAATATGGGAATAAAGAAATGCTTGAATATGTTAGCAAATATATCCCTCAGCATTATGCGCATTTTATCATCGTTTGATTTCTGTGAAGTACTACGCCCGTGAGGGTCACTCAGCGTAGAGTGGAGGAGACTCCCACCTCCGTCCACTGATCCTGATATCTAAATTATTCTTCCAGCATGGCTATCTCCGGCATTATAAGAAGAGAATGTCTTTTTTAAAGTCACAGTCCAATAGCCATTTTACATCAACCTGTGATTATCTTATGCCTGGAAAATCTTTTTTGTCGCTATTGTAAATTTATTTCATCTCTTTTTATTAAAGTAAATAATAATGTTGGCTCTTGTGAAAGTAGCTTAAGCAGTATTTATGGTTATAAATACTAGCAAGTTAAGAGTCACTGTAGAGTGCAGAGTCAAGGTAAACTTCTGAGAGGACCATCTTGAAGCATGAGTGGAGGAAATATTGTCTTACAGGAGTCTTCAGTATGTTTGGGTGTCATGAAGCTTAACTGTAGGAGAGATGATGTCTCATAGCAGTCCTCAGTGTGGCTGAGAAGTCTTAAAGCGCAAGCGTTAGTCACATGACATTGTTATATTTAGAGTATTCTTTACCGACAAGTAGAGGAATACAACACTCGTTTAACACTTGGGTATCGTTATTACAGAGATATTTTTCTTGCATAGCAGGCTTCTCCAGTTGAATACAATGATCATTTAAAAAGTGGTGACAGTGGGGCGAGAGACTGAAATGTTCAGTCCCTCAGTAATGATAACAGTGGAGGGGTAATTTGGGGTGTTTCTTATCGCTGATAGAAGTTGCTCACTCCATTGCACTGATCACTCTCAAGCAGAGGCACAGTGATGGAACTCAATATACTTGACCAGAAGTGAGGTGAGGCGGTCGGAGACGTCGTCACAGGAGATGGGGTCTACCAACAGGCCAAATGGCCCATGGTAGGAAGGTGCCTCTTAAGTTCAACACATGAGAATATGCCAATAAGCTGGGAACGATAAGGCTGACATGTTATGTATGAGAAGGGTAGAATTTGAGAAGGACCTGCCAAACATGGGCCAGATGGAATGTTAATGGGCCCTTCCTCCACTGATGACATCTCCAACCACCGCTCCTCACTTTTGGCCCAGCGTTTATAAAAATAAATGAACGTTAGAAATACGCATTTGATAATGCATTTAACTAAGCACTGACACCCAGGTCACACTAACCAGAGGCGTAAATACAACAATTCAACTACATTTTGTTTTAAGTGGGCAACGCCTGACCCACCATAAAGGCTTTAACCATCGAACCACCCAGACTAGACTGGAGAGCATATTAACCCGGCCTTACAAACGGGTCTATAGCTCCATCACTCTCCCTCTACTTCAGATATCAACACTATGGACTGAAGAATTTCTATTAAGGTTAAGGAACGGAACACCTTAGTCTTTAGTCTTTTCCTCCACCATATTTTAGTTGCCTCTACATCCGTCTGAATACAGAAAATAAAGAAAACAAACTGTTACTCATGTATATTATTATTCATCCATATCATGTTTTCTAGGAGTCCTTAGCATGTCTGGTAAGATGAAGAAACTTAAAAGTAGGAGAGATGGTGTCTTGCAGGAATCCTCGGTAAGTCCGGGACATCATGCAATGTGTATAGGAGAGATAATGTCTTGTAGGATCCCTCAGTATGTCTAGTACGTCATACAGTGTGAGAGTATGAGAGATGGTGTCCTGTAGGAGCCCTCATTATGTCCGGGACGTCATGCAGTGTGAGTGTAGTCAAAATGATATCCTCTAGAAGGCTCGAATAAGCTGGGGACATCAAATGTAGAATTACTTCTAATTTTCTTTCTCTCAATCTCTGTCACTATCTCACTGTATATTACGATGTCACGAAGCCTATGCATGTTGCCTAGTCTTTTCATGGTGCAGTCTATGTGTCCAGCTTAATTTACAGCTCTTCTGCCATCAGGTATCTTCCTGCGGCCACTATAATTCTAAGTTCCGACTTCTCCTTTGCTTTCAAGTACCTTCCTGTGTCCAGCATAATTGACAGTTTCTCCTACTCTCCTCCTTCAGGTGGGTTACAGTGCGCAGCGTGTCGGAAGCCTCAGCCAGTGAAAGATGTGCAGGATCTGCCGGTCAACTATTCCCTCCTGGAGGTGGCTCGGCTGGATGCCCTCAACTCCTCTCAGGAAAAGCTGCTCCAGAAGGATGCTCAGCAGATGAAGAAGATGGTGAGTGAATATCCTCGTTCGTAATAATTTTTCTGAAGCCACTGTGTGATTAATGCAATCGTGGAGAGTTTTTACGGTCACCAATGCCAGGTCTGTTGCTAGGTCTTTGGCCAGGTCTGTAACCAGGTCTTTGACAAGATCTGTGGCCAGGTCTATGACTATTAGGAAGTCTACAGAACAACCACCACGAAGTGTACAGAACAACTAACAGGAAGAGTACAGAACAATTAACAGGAAATGTACAGCACAACCAACAGTAAGTGTACATTTGAACCAATAGGAAGTGTACAGAGCAACCAACAGGAAGTGTACAGAACACCTAACAGGATATGTACAGAACAACTAGCAGGAAGTGTACAGAACAACTAACAGGAAGTGTACAGGACAACTAACAGGAAGTGTACAGGACAACCAACAGAGAATGTATATTGCAACCTACAGGAAGTGTACAGAACAGCTAACAGGAAGTGTAGAAAGCGACTAGACAAACATTGGCTTTTTCAATTGCATACAGAGACGGCATACGAAGCCAGAATATCACCTGAATAATATCTGCAGTATACTTGCAGAATATCTACTGTCTTCATGTACATCTGTATTGAATTGAAAAAGCCACTGGATGGCGAAACGTCTTCAGATAAAGATTCCCAGGTGTTGCACACATTTCTTATTCCTTACCATAGGCCATTCTTAAATGGCATTTTTCTTGTAATAGAATCTCCAGGTCTGATGGAACCCAGACTTCTAAGTTCTCTCTGGTAATGAACCAATATTGAAATACTTGGAACCCATGCATGCAACCCATCCCTTGTGATGTAGCATGATAGGAAAACAATGCTCGTTATTGTTCCCAGTCTGCATCCTTCATGTAGCAGAGAGGTAGCACTGTTGACATAGCCAGTTATGTTTAATATAAAACAGAGAAATGTTGATTCCGACTCCATCCCATATCAACAACCTTTACACTGTCAGAAACACCAGCAACCGAGACCAACCCCTCCACTACACCTCTATATACTAGCAACCGAGACCAACCCCCAACTACAACTCTACACACCAGCAACCGAGATCAACCCCCATCACAACTGTCCAGACCAGCAACAGAGACAATACCCCTACCACAACCCCTCCCCCACATCACCAGCCATAACGTCTCCTGGGTATCTTAATGTATCGAGATATACAACACACTTCCTCACTGCCACCTGCCCAGGTATGGTCAGCTGTTTACTAACCGAACATATGTTAAAACATGTTCGTGCCAGTGTGGTCTAGGGCAGACTTTTTTTTTTTGTGCTTACTTTACGTTGCTTCTAATATATTTGTCAGTGAAAATCAGGTGACGCTGGTCTTTAATAATATCTTGACCTGTAGTAAGTTACTGTAAGCAAAACACTAAATCTTTTTAAATCTTTCAGTATAAGGAAGAGTGGAGGCTCTATCCTCCGTTCAGTAACCGTGAGACGAACAAGCTACTGAATTGCCGTACCATGTAGAGCATCGTGTTCACATTTGGCATAGTTGTTCTACTGACCAAAAGAAATAATTCTTGAGGTATCTAGTGAACTGTGGGAGAGAGAGAAACATGTGTTAAGTAAATAATCTCTCAGAGCTTTTGACAAATGAACAAGTTGTACTGTGTTAAGAGTCTGGATATGAGACGTGTTTCTTATGGTTTTATTGTGTGTGTGTGTGTGTGTGTGTGTGTGTGTGTGTGTGTGTACTCACTTATATGTGATTGCAGGGATCGATTCACAGCTCCTGGTACTGCTTCTTCGCTAGTCGCTACTGTGTAACTCTCTCCCCTCTCGAAGAGCCTTATCTTACCTCATCTTAAAGTTATGTATGGATCTTGTCTCCACTTCTTCACTCTCCAGATTATTCCACTTCCTGACAACTCTAAGGCTAAAGAAATACTTCCTAACATCCCTATGGTTCATCTGAGTTTTCATTTTCCGTTGTGGCAGCTTGTTCTTGTGTTCCATCTCTGAAACATTTTAATCCTGTCCACCTTGTCAACTAATCTCAGCATTTTTATACGTCGTTATCATGTCCGCCCTTTCCCTCCTGTCATATAGTGTCATCAGGTCGAGTTCCCTTAACCTCTTTTCATAAGATATTTCCCTTAGCTCCAAGGCTAGTGTTGTTGCAAACCTTTTCACTGTCTATAATTCCTTGACGTGTTTGAGCAGGTGTGGGTTCCAAACTGGTGCGGCATACTCCAGTATGGGCCTGACGTACACGGTGTACAGTGTTGTGAATGATTTCTTACTTAGATATCGAAATGCTATTCTTAGGTTTGCCAGGCACCCATATGCTGCAGCGGCTATTTCACTGATGTGTTCCTCAAGGCACATACTCGGAATAATGCTCACCCCAAAATCCTTTTCCTTAAATGAGGTTTGTAGCCTTTGATCCTTAGTCTGTACTCCGTCTGCGATCTTCTTTGTCCTTCCTCAAGCTTCATAACTTGGCACTTGCCGGGGTTAAGCTCCAGGAGCCATTTGTCAGGAAAGCCTTGCAGCCGATGTCCAGATCCCCTTGTAATCTTACCTGATCATCGTCTGCTTGCACTCTCCTCATTCTCCTCATTAATTTCACATCATAAGCAAACAGGGACACCTCTGAATCTATTTCTTCCATCACTGCATTCACACATTCAAGAAAGAGCACCGGACCTAGGACTGACCCTTGTGGAACCCCCACTGAACACATGAGGCCACTCTGACAGTTCATCACCTACCAACACTCGTTGTTTTCTTCCAGTCAGGTATTCCCTAATCCATTGTAGTGTGTGAGTATGTGTGTGTGTGTACTCACCTAGTTGTGGTTGCAGGGGTCGAGTCACAGCTCCTGGCCCCGCCTCTTCACTTGTCGCTACTAGGTCACTGTTCTTGCTCCATGAGCTCTTCTTAAAGCTATGTATGGATCCTGCCTCCACTACATCACTTCCCAGACTATTCCACTTCCTGACAACTCTGTGACTGAAGAAATACTTCCTAACATCCTTGTGATTCATCTGAGTCTTCAACTTCAAATTGTGACCCTTTGTTGCTGTGTCCCATCTCTGGAACTCCCTGGAACATCCTGTCTCTATCCACCTTGTCAATTCCTCTCAGTATCTTATATGTCGTTATCATAACCCCTCTATCTCTCCTGTCCTCCAGTGTTGTCAGGTCGATCTCCCTTCATCTCTCCTCGTAGGACATGCCTCTTAGCTCCGGGACTAGTCTTGTTGCAAATCTTTGCACTAAATCTAATTTCCTTACGTGCTTGGCTAGATGTGGGTTTCAAACTGGTGCTGCATACTCCAATAGAGGCCTAACGTAGACAGTGTACAGGGTCCTGAACGAAAGGCCAGTTATGTAATTCAGCTTTCCCCTGTGGTTGTTTTTGTGTGTGCTTATAATATATATATATATATTTTTAAAATATATATATTTATTTATATTTTTTTTATTTTTATAATAATATAAAATATAAAAAATTTATTTTTTTTTTTTTTTTTCACACGGGTCCGTTCCAAAGGGGGTCCCGAAAAAAGAAAAAAATTTCCCACCTATTCACTCCATCACTGTCGCCGGGGTTCTTTACACTCAGTTTTTAAACTAAACATTAACCCCCTCCAGATCAGGCCTTTATTTCCAATCTCAGGGACTCAATCCGGCCTCCCCCCCTAACCCTTTCATAAATTTATTTCTAACCCAAAATAATATTAAAAACCATTTTCCCCTTTTCATCCTATCAAACCCTACAAAATTAAAAACCCCCTACAAAAAATTTTAAAAACCCCCCTCCCCCCAAAACCCTTTCCAGGCCAAACCCCAAACCCCCCCTTCCCTTTCCACACAGACGATACACTCTTGAGTTATTCTTTCGCTCCATTCCCTCACATGCCAAAAACCACCTCAAACCCTTCCTCGGGCCCTCTGGAAAACGTTTTGGTAACCCCCCCGCACCTCCTCCTAATTCCAAAACTACGAATTCTTGCATTATATTCACACCACACATTGCCCTCAGACAGACACTCCACTCCCTCCACCCCCTTTCTCCCGCTCCCAACATTCATCCCCCAAGCTTCACACCCATATAAACGTTGGTAAAACATACTCTCATACTTTCCCCCTCTTTGCCTCCCAAGGAAAAAGTTCTCTGCTCCACAGACTCCTAAGTGCCCCACTCACTTTTTTTTTTCCCCCTCATCAATTCAGATCACCCATCTTTATAGCCCATCCGCTGACACGCCCCACTCCCAAAACTGAATACTTCACCCCCTCCTACTCTCTCCCCCCAATCTGATTTTTCAACTTTCATCCCTAATTTTTTTGTTACCCATCCCCTTACTCTTTCCTATATTCACCTTTAATTTTCTTCTTTTGCCACCCAAAACCAAAATTCTCCACCAATCCTGCAGCTTCTCTTCAATCCCCAAGAGCACAGTGTCCAGCAAAGAGCCTGTGAAAACTCCCACCCCCGTGTGTGATTCTTTATCTTTTAACTCCACGCCCCTTGCCAAGACCCTCGCATTTCTTCTCTTACAAACCCCATCTATAAATATATTAAACAACCACGGGGACATCACCATCCCTTTTCTAAAGGGCCCACTTTTTGGGGGAAAAAAAAATTCCCTCTTTTCACAAACTCTAACTTTAACCTCACTAAAACCCGTAAAAACCCCCTTCACTGCTTTTGTAACCTCCCTCCTACCCATACATTGCAACATCTCCACATTGCCCCCCCATTCCCCTGGTCATTCGCCTTTTAAACCAAAATGCCACAAAAGCCTTTAGCCTTATCTAAAAAAACTGTTTATTATATGTTTCCCCGTTTAAAAACCACCGGTCCACACCCCCCTACCTTTCCTAAAGCCTCCTTGTTCATTGCTATCCCATTCTCCGTCTTACTCTTTAAATTTTTTCAATTATAACTCTACCATACACTTTTTACCGTCACTCACAGACTTTTCCCCCCATAATTTTTCACTCTCTTTTTTTTCCCCT